ATGCAAACTTTATTTTCATCTGGAAAAGTTACCTTTTAGAATTTGCAAACGAAGAAGATGATGGGGGCATTAATCAAGAATTGAACTCACAATCTCAAATAACCAAAAAATCCAAATGAATATATAATCACGAACCAATCTACGACTGTACACCCCAAATGAGAAATTCAGTACGCAAAACAAAAAATCAATCAACCCATCAATTACTTGTCAATTGAAATTTTGGATCAAATCCAACCAATGTCGTTATAAGGTTATCATTATGAACCGACATAGTGGTTGGTGTCTCATTTTGCGGTGCAGACGATTGAGGTAAACAGACCCACACAGACCCACCAAATCGAGGAAAAAGAAGAATGAAAAGAGACACAACGGTTATAGACCAAGATTACTGATATGAACGGACGATGTTGAGGAGGAAGAATCCTCAGATTAGTAAGAAGGAGTGAGAGAGAGCATAATTGAAAAAGAAGAAGAAGAAAAGACGATTCTAGGGTTGAATTTTGAAAAATGACAAATCACTGCTGATTTTATAGGATCACATCCCTGATTTCTTCGTGCCACAATAATGCTGATTTCTTGGGGCGGGTTTTAAAGACTGAAAGGGTAAGATTGGTAATTGAGTTCCTAAGGTTTTAGGCTGAACGGATGACACGTGGCTGTTAGGAGTGTTTTATTAGAAGAAGGAGTATTTTTTATGATTATATTTTGAGATAGTGGAATTGGTTATTGGTGTGGTCTCAGGTGTTACAAAGAAAACCCTTATCTTGTTTGGATTTTTTGGAGTCATAGAAAAAAACTGAAATTGTCTATTGTTTATGTTATATTTTGGATGATTTGGAAATGTAGAAATTGTCATTGTAGATGATATTATCAGCTATATATTTAATTGGATTAAGAGTAGATCCAAATTTTATTACATTGATTGGAGTGTTTGATATATGTTTCTAATTTCAAACTTATTTTGTATTTTGATGTAACGCCCCGTTCGAAAAGTACTTATTATGAACTTCCGAGATCAAGAGTAAGGGCGTTTCGGTCTTTTATGGGCAATGGGTTTTATTCGAGAAGGTTTCGGGTCGGGGAGTGTTGCTAGAAGCATAGGGCTTCTCGCCACCTTTTCGTGGATATAAAGTTCGTCGGAAGCGGACTTAGAATAAATGAGTTATGACACTTTGAAGATAGTGTCAACAATGGTCCCTAAAGGAAATATATGGCAAAGGGGTCCTAGGCATGCATGGAGTACATGCGTGTAATTGGCTGGGTACGCACAACGTAAGATAGGTTACGCCCAGCGTAGAGTGGATAAATGAACGCGGGTGTTGGGGGCGTACGCCCAGCATACAGGATGTACGCCCGACGTACGTCCAGAGTATTTAAACCCTAATTTGAGGGTGAGCCACTATATATAGAACATAATGGCTTCAAACCCTAGCCCCCATATCACAGCCTCCCTACCTCAGAAGAAACCCTAGAACGTTCCAAACCTCCATTTTTAGAGATCTTGGCCTTGGAAAGCTCACCTTGGTGGTTTAAACTTGGAAGAGGAAAAGAGGAAGTTGTCAAGGAAGGAGTTGGGTGGCTGGAGCTCGTGGATCTGGGAAGGCATCATCTTCTGGAGCCCTTTTGAGGTATAAAGTCTCTTGCTTGTCATCTATTTTGTGTAGATCTGGTGTTTTGAAGTTTTGACATCATTTCTTGTCCTAAAACCCCCAAGTGATGCATGATGTGAGTTGGTTGAGATTAGCTGTCCTTTCAGACCTTAGAAGGTCTTGAGTGAGAAAAATGAGGTCCCAAGGGCTTTGGTGTCTCATGTATGATGTAGGTGGGTCTAAATGGATTAAGACCTTGAGTTTAAGAGCTTTATGGACGTCCCCAAGTGATAAAGTTTGAGACTTTATGGATCCTAGGCATGTTTGGTCGATGGATCTGAAGTTTGGGCTTAAGAGCTTAAGCCATTAAGAACTTATGTGGACTTTTAGTTCAGCGAGTTTACGCCCCGCGTAAAGTGATGTACGCCCAGCGTACTCACCATTCTGCCTGTACGCTTAGCGTACATGGGGGGTACGCCCCGCGTACTCTGTCTGTATGGATCGTGGAGTTTTTTGGGCCGTGGTTTGGGGCATGTTTGAGTATTTGGGCCTTAGTGGGCCATCAGAAATCATATTATATGGACCAAGGAATATATTTTGGGGTTAGGGTGAGGCCCATTAAGGGATTGGGCCATTAGTGGGTCACTAGTGGGCTTGAGAAGCTTACCTAGTGTTGGGCCCTTCATATTATGGTGTTGGGCTTTAGTCATGGACCAGATTGGGTTAAGGGTAAAATGGTCAATTTACCCTTAGAAGGATATTGGGCTAAGTGTTTTTGTGGCATTGATAGTTCGGCGAGCTAGAGGAGCAGCAGTGCGGGGATTGTCAGATAGCGTCCAGAAGGGTACCAGCAGTATTTCGGCAGTCGCAAGGTGAGTATCCTCACTATATCGACGGGTCTACGGCACAAGGCTGGCCCTTTAACGGATGGAAATCCGGGTATTGATGTTTTATGTGTTGTTTGCTAGATCTGCATCCTGGTATTTAGGATGGTGTTATGTTAGTGACATGGTTAAGGTCGGTACCTGGGATATAGGGTAATGTTATGCTAGTGACCGGTTAGGTCGGAATCCTGGTTAGGATGTTGATATGCTATGAGATCTGTTAGACTGTTGTCTGGTCGAGGATTGTTATTGTTGATTATTTGTTTTATGTGCACATGGTGTTTTGACGGGGGTTGGGTTGAGGCGGGTCCTGCTTAGTGCTGTAGGCCAACATACCCAAGGCGGACCGGACATTCCGAAGGCCCAACGAGCGGTCCGAATAGGCTGAAGGCCCCGAGAGGGCGGACCAGACGTGCCGAGGCTCGGAGAGTGGACCAGGTCGACTGAAGGCCCGGTGTGGGCAGACCAGTCATACTGTAGACTCAGAGAGTGGACCAAGTGGATGAAGGCGGGTGCGGGCGGGCGGACCAATCACACTGTAGACTCGATATACATGGCTAGACTCGGAGGGTGGACCAGGTGGACTGAAGGCCCGGTGCGGGCGGACCAATCACACAGCAGACCCGATATGTGTGGCTGTTCCATTTGTGATATGATATGAGTATGTTATGTGTGGTTGGTATTTTGGGGGTAACTCACTAAGCTTTCGGGCTTACAGTTGTAGTGTTATGTTTCAGGTACTTCAGGAGATCGTGGCAAGGCGAAGGCGTGATCGTACCGCTCCTCATGTTTTACGATTTTTATGATATGGTTATGGGGATACTCTGATAGAAACTATTTTGAAAACGAGATGTATGAAGTTAATGGTTTTTGAATGAATGAAAATGTTTTAATTTGACTTAATTTTTATGGATGTTACATTTGACTTGAGTTCTCCATTTAAGTCTTTTTGTTTTGTTTTGTTTTCTTTAAGGTTAATTTTTTGCAGCCGATATAAGATACAAAAAATATAATGCTTTAGTAACTTTATTCTCACTGCAATTGCAATCATGATGCTTCTTTACTTCACACAAAAAAATAGGGTGCTGTTATTAAGACACCCTTTAGACACCTTATAGATAACTTTATCAAAAGTTAACCAATAGATAACTATTTTTAATCAGCTTTTTCAAAACACCATGTGAAGTTAACCAATAAAAATACCTTAAAAATTATATAGGGTGTCTAAATGGTAAAATAGGGTGTCCATTTAGCCGACACAAAAAAAATAACAAAAATGAATATCTATTCTACTGAAGTAAAACGATAAGATCGCGTTTCCCATTCATCAGTATTATAATACTCAAATGGGTCCTACTTTGCACACACCAACCTACAACACCATCCTATACCATTGAGCTTACTTTTTAGGTAAATGATGACTATATAATTATCATTTTTATTACTTTTTAGGTTATGATTACAATATAATTATTATTTTGACTAACTTTTATCATTATTTCATTATAACAAAATCAATAAAGTTTTTATTATTTAATAATTATATTTTTATTGCTAACTTTATTAATATTAATAATTGTTAAACTTATTTTTTTATTAAGATAAAAAATAATAATAATTTTATTTTATAATATAATAATATAAATAGTATTATAAAAAATTAAAATTCAAAATAAATTTTCATCAATATTTTTTTTACCCTATCCACGACAAAAACAAACGACAACAATAATTTTGGCGGCTATGCCCCTACGAAGAATTGGGTGTGTTAATGCCAACATTTAGTAAATAAAAAGGGTTATAAATGTAATATTGGGAGGATATCATTTCACGTCATCAACAAAATTTGATTAAAAAATTAAATTGCTTGATATAAAAATATAAGATTAAATAAACATGATTAAAAAAAATAGTCATAAACTCATATAAACTCATATGTTAAAGAATAAATGCTTTTAGTTAATGTTAATACATTATTATTTATTTCAAAAATGATATATATATATATAATATATATATATATATATAAAACTAAAAAAGATCAAAAGAATGATACTTAATGTTAAAAAAATAGAAACCAATATACAATAAGTATCGTACATGTCGAATTTGTTTATATGTGAGATAGATATTTATATTAAAAATAACACGAATAAATATATTCAAAAATAAAATTAATAAAAAACATATGTTGTATATTTTTGTAAAGTTAAAGGGAGGAAAATAGAAAATAATATATAAATAAAGGGGCGTAAACGTAATATTAAATGTATTTTATTGTTTTCCTATTCTCGGTGGTTAATCATTGTTGTGCAGTAGATTTGGAATAGGGTGGTGTGTAAAAAATAAAATCCTACTCAAATAACTACAAAAATTTGATGGCATCAATCTCTGTCTTGGAGTTTGTGAGCAAAACGGTCATTTCGGCTCATTCATTAACCGGAACGTTCTGGATTCGTTTTGATTCGCTTCATGATACTAGAGATCGGCTACTTAAACAATCACCATACAAATCTGATATTGGATTAATTAAGATTTAAGAACCAATTTCTCAATGGAGAACCAAGTCGGGAGAAGTAGCTGCCGGCGGCAAAGGGTGGTCCTTTTCCCGCTGCCATTTCAAGGCCACATAAACCCAATGCTTCAACTGGCGAATATACTCTACTCCAATGGCTTCTCGATCACCATCATTCACACTAACTTCAACTCCCTATACACATCAAATTACCCTCACTTTACTTTTCGAGCTGTTCTTGATAACGACTCGAAAGACAATAATCTTGCCAAGTTATCTTCTAAAGGAATCGGTGATCTTCTTTCCGGGATCATGCTGTTGAATCAGTGTAGTGGAGAAAGCTTGCGCCAAGAGTTGGATCAGATGTTAATCGCTTCAAAACAGCACCATGAGCCTATTGTGTGTTTAATCACTGACGCTCTTTGGTACTTCACCCAATCGGTGGCAGATAGTCTAAAGCTTCCGAGGATGGTTTTGAGGACAAGCAGCTTGTTTTGTGTTAATGTTTACGCCTCCATCCCTGTTCTTGAAGACCAGGGTTACTTTAACCAAGCAAACAGTGGTACGTTATGTATCTCATATGCTAAAATGGTAATTAATATTAGAACTAATCTGATGATCACTTTGGAATATTCTTTCTCCATAGTTTTCGATGAAGAGAACATAGATTTAGGTCTGAAGAATATTATATCTCCAAACAACGAAAGAGACTTTAAGAAACCTGAAGGCACCGAGTTAGTTTTTGGTAAGAAAACTAATTCTTGATCTTTACCTTCTTAATTGAAGAGCATCTCTAATTTATTTTTGCTTTCAATGGAAACTAGATTTGGAAGAACGGGTGCCTGAGATTCCAGTTCTTAAAGTGAAAGACATCTCAAACATGAGAATCAAAGGCCAGACAGATCCCAACAGCGAAATTACTAGCTAAAATGTTGAAACAAACAAAGGCATCTTCAGGAATCATTTGGAACTCTTTTAAAGAACTTGAAGAACCCGAATTCCAAAAGATCTGTAAAGACTTTCCTGTTCCATCTTTCTTGATAGGCCCATTTCACAAATACTTTCCTGCTTCATTGAGCAGTTTACTAGAACCAGATAGAAGCTTTATGTCATGGTTAGACCATCAAGCACCTGAATCCGTACTATACATAAGTTTTGGTAGTGCTGCTCAACTAGAAAAGCAAGATTTCATGGAAGTAGTTCATGGTTTGGCTATTAGCAAGCAGCCATTTTTGTGGGTGATGCGACCTGCATTTGTGAAAGGTTCAGAGTGGATCGATCTGTTACCAAATTGGTTCCTGGATCTGGTGGGTGAAAGGGGGCATATTGTGAAATGGGCTCCTCAACAAGAAGTACTAGCTCATCAAGCAACTGGAGCATTTTGGACTCATAATGGATGGAATTCGACATTGGAAAGCATTTGTGAAGGTGTTCCTATGATTTGTTCTCCGTTTTGGGGTGATCAGCCACTAGATGCAAGATATGTGAGCGATGTTCTCAAGGTTGGGGTTTACCTGGAAAACGGGTGGGGGAAAGAGGAGATAGCAAGTGCAATAAGAAGAGTAATGGTAGAGGACGAAAGGGAGGACTTTAGAGAGAGGGCAAGGTGTTTGAAAGAAAAAGTAAATGTTAGCCTAATGAAGGGGGGCTCTTCATATGAATCTTTAGAGTCTTTGGTTGGTTACATATCTTTGTTATAGTTGAGATGTTCTTCATATTGATGGAGAACATCTGAATTTACTTTTATTTCTTATACTTTTATTTCTTATGTTATTACATAATAACAGAATGATAATAGCAACGGATGATGCCCACCCTAAAGAAGAGATATGAGAAGTGTTTTCGTGATTCAGATAGATACTGGAGGAATTAGATTTAGAGATAACCGCAACCCCCATGGAAATATCAAATAATGTAGTTGCTAAGATCTTTCATCATAAAACAAGGCATTTTTTTTTTTTTTAAGATTTTGAATCTCTACGTTACAATGATAATCATATCCCTTCCCCTATCCTAATAAAAAAGTACCAATTTGCCACGTGTCAATTGCTCAGCCTACCTCCCAATGTTTTTCCCGCTCATTTCACAATAAGTTTATTTACTGAAATACCTTTGAAATCGGAATTACCTGTTATCTCATTTGTTTATATTTGATTCTTAAATCCTTAAATCTCGCCCAAGTTATAAGCCCCGCTCATTTAAAATGCATTCAATTTAAGGAACCTGATTGTATTTCCAAATGAATTAGGGTTACTTTTTCTGATGTGCTTCAATATCAATCGGTCATACTCAATCTCCATCCCCAATTTCAGTTGGATCGATCACCGCTTTTTCTTTAAACTCTCTCCCTAAATCGGAGATGTGAAATCTGTATATCATTTTTTAAATCCCTCTCTCTCCTATTTCTCTCTTGCCTAAACGTATCATGATTGTTTTGTAGAGGTTTTTATTATTAAGAAATATAAGAAAAACCTTCCATTCTCATGACCACGTCTTGGCTTTGTTCAATATCAATCATTCTTGGATTGCATCTGTTCCATTTACAAGTTTTTTTCCCCACCTATTGATTATGGAAGAACCCTCAAATTTCCATTTTCTTTAGCCTTCTCATCTCTATATTTTCACCCCTGCTAATTCCTAGATGGCGATGGGCACATCCTATCTTCTAGCTGAACATGTATGTGAAAAATCTAAATGATTTCAATTTTTGTTGCAATTTTGTTGTTGTTGTTCCATTTTTTGTTATTGAAATATGTTCATCCTAAAAAGTAAATAATGTTTTTATGATAGTTTATAGAAAAATTGGTCAATTGTTGTGCTCACGTTTATTGCTTTAATGTTTTTTCTATGGCTATAACAGGTTAATGATAAGAGATGTTAAGAAACTGATGTTTTATGATAATGCCTAATAGGTGTTTGATGAAATGCCTAAGAGAAACAATATTATAGCCTTTCCCTCTAATATCGAGGTTTAAGGATAGATACCTAGGGCTTGATAATGCAGTCAGAAGGAAATGAGGAATTCCCATTGAAAAAGAATTAGTACAAGTTTTTGATGAATAATCGAAAATTAAACATTTTTATGAATTTGTGGAGTTGTTGTTGTTGTCGATGTATATTTTTATTGAGATAAAATGGGAAGTTAAAGGATTTATAGTTTTATAGTCCTTTACTATTGCTTTGAAATAACATTTATACGTGGCATAGAAATCTCCAGCGTGAAATAACAGTTACTTTCATTTATTCGTTTATTGTACCAAATCAAGTAATTATCCATGAAGAAGAACGTCAATGGTGAGAGTTTTTTTTATCTATGTCAATAACGAGTTTTTTTTCTTCTTATTTTGGATGGTGTTTCATTGTTGCTTTGTTACACATGGTTTTATAACTAATTTGGATTGAAGGTGTCGCCTTTAGAGGGAAGATACCAAACTCAACCTTCAACCAGTTAAAGTATTGTTTCTTTGTTTTGCATTCCTATTATATATTTAATCTTGTATTGAGATGGAAGCACGAAGCCTACGCCACCATTTGTTTTATACAATCTTTCTATCTACTGGAGATATGCCATTTGTTTTCGGATGGTTCATATCATTGAGACCGGATGTTATGCACTCTTGTATCTATATCAACCTAGACAACATGTCTACCACCAACTAGTCCTCACACAACATACTGTCCCGCTACCAGTTAACCTCTATGAAGTGCATAACCATAAGTAACCAGAGGTGAGATAGCCACTCGAACAAATGATCCTACTCTAGAGCCACAACCAAACAAGGATCACGCAAGAAATCCTAGATCAATAGTTCTCAGGCTATCCTACATGACTGCATACAACCCCTAGGGCACTCCACTAAAAGATAACCAACAAGTACAGGTAGTCATACAGATCTACAGATCATTACCGCATATTAACATCCTATATACCAAGATGCAAATCTAACAGATCACTACATGATAGCAACATTCTATATACCAGGATACAGATATAACATATCACTACAGCATAACAACATCATATATACCAGGATACAGATCTAACAGAGCACTAAAGCATAACAACATCCTATATACTAGGATACATATGTAACGCCCTGTTCCGAATCGTTTCATATTTCATAGTAGTGATCAAAGATCGGATATTAGCAGGCTTAGGACATTTGAAGAATTGAGATCTGGACTCATTTGGAGGTGGGCGATGTAATTTAGATGATCCGTGTGTTCGGTTTGTGTTTTGGAGCCAAGGGGTATTTTGGTATTATCCTAGCTTGGCCTTTTATGGAAAAAGGGATTTTTGTTTGGGAAATTGTAAGACCAGTATGAGTTGATTAGAGCGTAGAGCTTCTCGTTACCTTTTCATGGATATAAGGATCGTTGAAATCGGATTTATAATGAGGAAGTTATGGCCTTCAGAGTATATTAGGGTTTGGGGGAAACCCTAGTACGTGGGGCGTACCTTGGGAGTATGCAGGGCGTACTGGTGCAAAGGTCGGTACGCAAGGCGTACATTGGTGTAAGCTTAGCGTACTAGGAAGGACTGGTTAGAAACCCCAATTTAGGGTGTTGTACCCTATATAAGCACCTAAAGTCTTTAGGGCTGGCCTCTTTACCAGCCTCCAAGCCCCCAAAACCCTAGAAATCGCCCCTTAGCCTCCATTAATGTACATTTGAGTTATTTGCAGATAATTTGGTGTTGTTTTGCTCATTTTAAAGAGATTGAAGAAAGAGGAAGGTTCATAGCTTGGTGGGGAACGTAGAGATCCAGAATCATTCATCACTTTGCAAGCTCCTAGAGGTATCAAGTTCAAATCTGGACTTGTTAATGCTTAGATCTCCTATTGTCTTGATTTTCATGCTTTTGGGTCCCTTTTTGGGTTGATTGATGAGTTAAGATGTTTGAAGGACTTATTCTTCTGGATCTAAGTTCATTGGGAGTTCCTTATGCATAAAGGTGCCAACTTTATGGGGGTATTGGGTCTCATGCATGCATTAAGTCACATGTTAAGTCCTTTTAAAGCTTAAGAGCTTCATTTAACCATGCATGAACGCAAAGTTGGTAACTTTACGTGATTATCCAGCTCAAAGAAGTTAGATATACATTTTAGGATCAGTGTCTTAGCAAATTAAGAAGCAAATTGAGTTTGGGCTGAATGAAGAAGTACGTTGGGCGCACAAGCCTGTACGCGCAACGTACAAGCCCTTAAGCCAGTACGCTTAGCGTACAAGCTGAGTACGCCCCACTTACTCACCAGGATGGGATTTCGGTGTTTGGGCTTCGGTTTGGGCCATCTTTTGGGCTTAGTTGTTTTGGGTCCTGTTGGGCCATCAGGTTTTGGACTGATATTTATTTGAGGAGCCCTACTATGGCATTTGGGCCCAATTTGGAAAATTGGGCCATGATTTGGGCCTGGGTGGCTAATTAGGATTGGGCCTTTGGATTGTTGGATTGGGCCTTTGCTTTGGGCCAAGTTATAGAGAGGGTAAAAAGGTCTTTTACGCTAGTTCAGACTTTTAGTATGAGTTGGGATCCTAATATTTAATTGGATTATGTTTTGTGATTATAGCGTGGGGATTTTAGCGGGCCAGCAGCCAGAGATTTATCTGCGGGATTCAGAAGTGCAAGGTGACTTTCCTCATTGTGTTTAGCGGGTGTAAGGCACCAATGCCCGCCCATGATTGTTATGGTTAGGATGCAAGATGTATGCGTGACTCTTGCATAGATTTGTAGATTGTATGTTTACCGGGCAAGGACCGATGCCGTGCGGAGCCTGATGAGTATATTGTATGCTAGTTATCAGTATGTGTTCTTTTGCTTACCTGGCAAGGCCCGATGCCGGGCGGGGCTTGATGAATGTATGGTATGCTATTGCCTTTGTGATTATCGCATGTGTTTATATGATTTTTTGCTTATATTACTATGTGTGTACCGGGGCTCGATGTCAGGCGGGGCCTAAGAGTAACATATCTGTATACCGAGCGGGGCCCAAAGCAGAGTGGGACTCGATATCGGGCGGGGCCCGATGGGGGGCGGGGACCCAGTATGTGATTATTATATATGGTATGAGGTAGTTTGGGGAACCCACTAAGCTTTGTGCTTATGGTTTTCAGTTTATGTTTCAGGCACTTCTGGTTTCAAAAGGAAGAGCTTGGGATGATTGCAGGACACACACCACTCGATTCCGCATTTTGTGATTTACTCTGATAATGATGGTGTATTGATAAGACTTTGATTATCCTGGTTTTATGAAAATGATATGATTTAATGGTTTATCAATCTAAAAATGAAAATTTTTATGGTATTATTTGTGGGAAGTTACAACATAACCAACAATCCAAGGAATGCATACCCGTATGTACTCAGAGGTGAAATAGACACCCGGACACATGATCCTACTCTAGAGCCACAACCTAACAAGGAACATGCAAGAGAGCCTAGATCAAGAGTCCCCAGTCTATCCTATGCGACTGCAAACAGTCCCTATGACATCCCTCTACTACATGATAAGCAAAACTAGTGGGACGATATTGGTGCCTTCGACCCACGGTACAATGAAGTAAAAGTCACCTGAATCGAAGAACTCTGAAACACAACGATACGATTCCTATTTCTGCACTGCTTACACCCGTAAATCCACTAACATTAGAACCAGATAAAATCTTAATCAATAGTCCAAAATCCTCAAGTTTGACCCAAAGT